CTGCACCACCAGGGAAGCGCCTAAGTTAGCATCTTTTAAAAAGACGTATAATCAGGTCCAATCCAGCCCATAGGAACGGTTGTTTCGTATGCTGAAGTAATGATTTACCAAAACTCTCAAGTAATAATTAGCTAAATGGCCTGAAGAAGAATTAACGCAGCTTCTAAAAGTGCATAACTACTTCCAGGGAGTAGTTTCTATGCTGGGGGATGTGGCTAATTAAGTGACTTTGAAAGATTCAGAGGGGCCCCTTGAGCATTATCCCTGCAGTCTTCTGTTAGAGTAACTGGTCCGCTTCCTGGGTGTACACACAGAGGTGCTTTCTTGCAAAATAATTACATGCCAGTGGAACTAATGTCTGCATTTTTTAAACGTTGTGAGAGATCTGTTCATTTCCACCATGGTAATTCTCTACCTAAGAAAGCATATCAACATCAGAAAAGTGAAAACCAAATCAATTTTAATTTAGAAGATTCTTATCTTCGGATGGCATTTACAGTCATTAAATACGCAGTTAAATATTCAGGCATTTGCGTATTTGAACCTAAAGAACTGCATTTTCATCGAGCCATGAAACTGTCACTGGAGGATGAGCAGGGGACTTCTTTCTAACTAATGAACTTTTGGGGGGAAACATCAATAACTGAAGCATCCACATGCACTGCAACAAAAGTACTCCTCTGTAACAAGTAGTTCTCAATATCTGCTTTCAAGTAATTTATTTGCTGTTGATACTAGTTTACAAATGAGCTAATCTTTGAATTTAACTGACTAAGTTGCCAAACCTCTCCTCTAGCGTTCTGTCCCTTCTGGGTGGATGAGTGGTGGTGTGTATGTATATACTCTCGCAAAGGAAAAGAACATATTTGTTTTCTTCCTGGAGTCAGTCAGTAGATGATACAATGAATGAAACTGTATAAACTACAAGATAGGGCAAGGACCATGTTCACAAAGCCTGTCTTATAAAGACAGTTTGTATGGGCCATGTTGAATTATGTTATTTATTTATTTATTTTTTAATTGAAGTATAGTTGAGTTATTATATTGTGTTAGTTTCAGGTATACAGCAAAGTGATTCAGTTATATACATATATATTTTTTCAGATTCTTTTCCATTATAGGTTAGTGCAAGATATTGAACACAGTTCCCTGTGCTATACAGTAAATCCTTGTTGCTTATCTATTTGATGTATAGTTGTGTGTATATGTTAATCCCATACTCCTAATTTACCCCTCCCCTCTCTTTCCCCTTTGGTAACTGTAAGTTTGTTTTCTGTGTCTGAGTCTGTTCCTCTTTTGTATATAGATTCATTTGTATTATTTTTTAGATTCCACATATAAGTGATGTCATATGATATTTGTCTTTCTCTGTAAGACTTACTTCATTTAGTAGATATTCTCTAGCTTCATCCATGTTACTGCAAATGGCATTATTTCATTCTTTTTTATGGCTGAGTAATATTCCATTGTATATACATATCACATCTTCTTTATCCATTCATCTATCAGTGGACACTTAGGTTGCTTCTTTGTCTTGGCTATTGTAAATAGAGCTGCTATGAACGTTGGAGTGCATGTATCTTTTCGAATTATAGTTTTCATCTTTTCTGGATATATGCCCAGGATTGGTATTGCTGAATCATATGATAACACTATTTTTAGTTTTTTAAGGAACCTCCATACTGTTTTCCATAGTAGTGGTTGCACCAGTTTACATTCCCACCAGAGGGTTCCCTTTTCTCCACACCCTCTCCAGCATTTATTTATAGACTTTTTTGATGATGGCCATTCTGACTGGTGTGAGGTGATACCTCATTGTAGTTTTGATTTGCATTTCTCTAGTAATTAGTGATGATGAGCATCTTTTCATGTGCTTGTTGGCCATCTGTATGTCTTCTTTGGAGAAATGTCTATTTAGCTCTTCTGCCCATTTTTTGATTGGGTTGTTTGGTTTTTTTGATATTGAGTTGTGTGAGCTGTTTGTGTATTTTAGATATTAACCCCTTGTCAGTCACATCATTTGCAAGTATTTTCTCCCATTCTGTAGAGGTTTTTTGTGTTTTGTTGGTGATTTCCTTTGCCTTGCCAAAGCTTTTAAGTTTGATTAGGTCCTCCTTGCTTGTTTGTTTGTTTATTTATTTGGCTTTTATTTCTTTTGCCCTGGGAGACCGATCTAAGAAAATATTGCTATGATTTACATCCGAGAATGTTTTGCTTATGTTCTCTTCAGGAGTTTTATGATGTCATGTCTTATATTAAGGTCTTTAAACCATTTTGACTTTATTTTTGTATATGGTCTTTTAATTTAGACGGTACTTAATATATATATATATATGTGTGTGTATATATATATATATATATATATATATATATATATAT